AGCTCAGCTTCTGTGATGCCTTTCCTTCTCAGGCTGGTACTCCCCAGCTACCGCGTCTCTTAGTCTTTCCGGTTTCTTGTCTCCCTGCGGCTCTGGCTTCTCCTAGCCACTTCATTGGCAGCTTTTCTTCCCTCTCTCACTCGGCACCTTGATCTTTGCGTTCAGTGCTTGCTTTCTGCTCACCTTCTTTCCTTCCCTCTGTTATTCAGGGACCTTGCTCATGAAGGAAACAAATCAGAAACTCGGAACACTTCTAATGAAACTTTGTAACTTTTTTAACAATATTTACCAAATTAAAACATCCATTGCTCTTTCCTGCAGATCAAGGACTCGCCCCTCCCAGGTGTGGTCCCAGGGCAAACATGGAGCCACATGGAAGGAGGACGTTCAACTCACCTTGCGCTGGCTTCTCCGCACCCACAGCAGCTTATACGCATACTCATCTGGGTAAATTTGGTTGAAATGAAACACCGCAAACTCAACACAGAGGGTGAAGTAATTTGTTCTCCTATCAATGTCCACAAAGTTGGAACTGCAGACATGAGGCACCAGCACAATGAGCCCCAGAAGCAGAGGTGCCTTCAGGAGCATGTTGTCTGGCATGAGCCCTGGAGGCCAGCAGCAAACGGGTGGCAGCCAGCGCAGGGCCACCCTCCAAAGCTCTGCATCCCACACAGCCTTACCCCAAGGAGTCCCTGGGCTGCTGGCCAGTGCTCTGTCCAGCTCCTCCCTTTCATCCTGCCTTGTCCTTGCCTTGTCCCTCCCATCATCACTAACAGAAGGCAGAGCAGGGGCTTACCATTTCCACTGCTTTGCTCCATAAGCCTTGGACCCAGGAACATGCATGCAATATGCTCTGTTTCCAGGGCTACCTCCACCTGCCCCAGTCCAGCCCTAATAGGTTCTGAATGGGGGTTTTGAACCCACCTCCCTTGCTCTCACAGCACTGTATCCTACAACTGCCAAGTCACAGGAACTTTTAGGAACACTGGTGGGCTCTAGGAGGTTGAGGTAAAAACCAGGTCTACCTCTGACCATGGCTGCAGCCATCAGGAGGGTACAGGGAAGGGTTACCATTGGGGCTGGGTTACCATCCCTTCCACCACCTCTGGCACCTGCTGACCTGCTTGCCATGAGGTCTGGCTGTGTTTGGCAGTGGGGAGAGGGATTTCTAATGTACTGGGCGGGTGGAGAGAAATCCAGGACAAGGCGGGTACTAGCCCAGGGTAGGGCTCTGCTGGAATGGATGTGGATGGCAGCCATGGGCATGAGAGGGATCGGGGACTGGGAAAGACAGGCCTTGCCCAGCCCTAGCCAACATGCATTTCCACACAGCTCTGCCACTTTGAGGTCCCATGGCCTTTGCCAAGTCATTGTTGTTAGGCTTTCCTCGGGGGAACCACAGTACATGTAAGTGTCCTGCCTGGCCTCATACAAGGCATTGGGAGTGAGTGGACCAGGAAACTATGACATGCTGTCCATGCATGTGAGGACACTCTGCAAGGGAAGGATTTTCCCACCTTTGGCATGGGGAGTAAACAGACACCTGCACATTGATGATGATCCCAGAAAGGGTACAGGGCCAGGGCCACAGCTGTTCAGATAGGCCATAAGTACAGACTGGGATTACCCCAGAAAGAGACGGGAGTGTGGCCAGAATGGCAGACACCTTTGTGACCACCTTCACTGCTGCACATCAGTAGATAGCTGGCGGCATGGGTGTCTGGGGATCGTCATGACGAGGACTCCACACCCTGCCTAGAAGTGTGTCTGATCCTGAGCGTTGCTCTCCCAAGGAGATCAGGTCCCCACACGGCTGACCCTTCTTCCCCACTTCCAGCAGCAGGGTGACTAGAGTGGCCATTGTCATCTTTCGAGACCAGGAAGACACTACTGACATGGGTTGTGACTGCCTCACTTCTAGATTTCTCTCAGCAGGGGTCAGAGGTTTCACGGGGCCTGCCAATGGACCAGCTGTTGCATTTCTTAGCCCTCTCTATCAGTCTGTTTCTTCTTTCCTTTGTTTATGCTTTTTTGTCATAATTTCCTCCCATTCTTGAGAGAGACTGTGATCACCGGTCATCCTTGTGCCCATCCTCTGCGTGTGCCGGTCCAGACCGTTACTTCCCTTGAGGCTGAACCTCAGGAGCACCACATATACTTGTCACATCATAAATTTTAATCATTTCCTTTGATCATATACCCTAATCAGAATTGAGATTACTTGTGTTATTTTAGGGTGTGTTGCTGACTCGACAACCATTTTTTTCCTTAATTTCAATCTAAACATCATTGCAGCCAGAGACTTTATTCCTTATGATATCAGTTCTTTCAAATGCACTGAGATTCACTTTATGGATCAGAATATGTTCAGTTTGGATTAATATTCGATCAGCTCAAGAAAAATACATGTTCCGGGGCACCTGGGGGGCTCAGTCATTAAGCGTCTGCCTTCGGCTCAGGTCATGATATCAGGGTCCTGGGATGAAGCCCCACGTCAGGCTCCTTGCTCAGCAGGGAGCCTGCTTCTCCCTCTGCCTGCCGCTCCCCCTGCTTATGCTCTCTCGTTCTCTCTCTCTGTCAAATAAATAAATCTTAAAAAATCTTAAAAACATAAAATAAATAAATAAAATTATATAAAAAAAGAAGAATACATGTTCCATAGTTGGTGGTGAATATTCTATATAATTGTTATTAATTTGTGAAATTAACAATTAAGTGGAGCACAGGGTGATGCATGGTAAATCTCAGTTCAACAAAGGACCATGGGAGAAACTGAAATAGAGGAGCGATCATTCACAGGACCTGGGAGAAGTACTCAGCAAGATGAAGGGGCCACACGGGGAGGTCAAGGCACAATGCAGATGGAGCCACAGGATCTGCTTACTGGGTGGAGTACTTCAGGGTTCTTGGGATAGAACCAGACTGACCAACTGAACCCCAAAGGACAGAGTTCTGTAAAACCCACGAGGGTCTTATCTAAGGGGGTGCAAGGGGGAGATCCTGGGAGGCAGAGGAGACTATTGCTCACAAGGGCTGCAGGGGAAGTCACATCAGGTGCTTCCATTTACCTGTGACTCTGCAGGATGCTATCTAGGGCACATGCTTGTGCTTATATGAGAGGCTAGTGTCAGTTTTAAGACCATGCAGGCCTCCTGGCCACACAAAGTAGTTGCCAAGGCAGCAGTACCATGGAGTAGCTTAGCTAAACTCCCAAAAATAATCAAAAATCAAATTTGTTCAACGGATTCTTAAATTTTTGTATATATGTTCTGATTTTTACCTAGTGGGTTCTGTCTGTTACTGAACTGGGATTTGATCATTTTCCCTCTTAGCCCTGTCTGGTCTGGCTTTACTAATGTGGAGACCATAAGAAGAGGTAGCCCAAGGATAGAACTGTTGTAACTTCCATATTCAAGCAAAGCTGTGACTTTCAGTTCCCAAAAAGTTATGTTTCTAATCCCATATTTGTTGAGAGCTGCAAGAGGCCACAGTCAGAGTTATGAACCTATATTCACACCTTGGTGCCCAAAGGGAAGCTCATTAGAATCATCAGTGCAGGGCTTAAAATAACCCAGTGGCTGGGTCCACTGAACACATGACACTAACACAGTTACATTTACAATGCCCCCAGGTGCATGTAAGGTGTATCTGAGCTCAAAGCACAGCATAATTGAAAACAACAAGATGCCAGGTCTTCCCAATGTGAAATGGGAATGAAGATAAAGGTGTTCACCTATGAGGGGCAACAGTGAGCAGCAAGAGCTGGACTTCAGGGAGGGTCTGGCTGTCCTCAGCCACCACGGGCCTCTGAACAATGAACAGCTAGACCACTCTGAACCTGAGTGATCTCAAGCCAAGAGCAGGTAATAGGTTGGCTTTGCTGACCACACATCTACCTTGTTTAGTTTATATTTGCCCCTATCAAACTGTGGGTAGATATCAGAAATTCTACGCACAGGCTGGTCAAAGGACCAAACCTGGCTCAGGCCACCATCTTTATTCTGTGCCCAATGAAGCAGTCCAGAATATGTGGAAAATCTATCTTATCAGTGTTTGTAGCCACATTATGGAAATATATCAGCACGAAAAGGACAGACTTTGAACCACACTCAAAATAGAACTCCTAGAAACCCAAAAGGAAGGAAGGTAACCCCTAACCCCTCCATGCTGAAGGATTCTTCCAAGCATCATTGCCACAGCTTCTCTGTCCCAGTCATGCCCCCAGGTGCTCCCACACCTCACTCTGTCTGTCTCTCACTCTGCCCCTCCAGGGCTACCCCCCACAAGGATCCCAGAAGACAGAGCTGCTCATCAGGCTGGGTATCTGTCACCACAGTTCCTATCCCAGGGGTAGTGATTGGTGTTGACAGCCATGGAGGCCAGGCTGGGCTGGGAAGGGGGATACAGGCATCATCAGGGAGCAGGTGGGACAT